AGCTCCTAACTTATCCCTCTTTTTTAAGGGTCAAAGAAGTTTTTTCTCTCTGGCTATTATCCAGACAGGGAGTTGTTTCCCTGTTTTCAGTATTTCCGTTCTCTCTCAGGGATCCTATACTTTGGGAGACTTGCCTTCTATTTATCTTTTGTTTTCCTTCTCTTCTTTTTCATTTCATTCATTTTCTCCATTGTCTTCCTTCCTTCCCCAAACACTCCCTCTTGTTCTAGTTTCTTTACACTCTTCACAGATTCATGGTGAGTAATGGGGTCTACCAACTTACTTGGCTTCCAGCTTCCACATCCTGTGAAACAGCTACTGCAGTGCTAGGCAATGGCATCTGCATGGGAACCTCTAGAGCCTATGTCCTCTTCTCCCTGCCCTTCAGCAGTATCTCAGTTGTATAATATAGGGTCTGTGTAGGGCTTTGTTTCATCCTTGGTCTTATGAATAAAAGCACTACAAAAGGGAGCTCTGGCAAAGGCCCAGCAAGCTCTGAGATCCCTCTGCATTGTGAGCAACACAGTGTTTTGCAGACAAGCTGTAGGATAGCCTGGCTTTCAAAGAAGATTCTTTTTCTTCTTACGAGTACAGGGAAAAAAGATCCAGCTCTTGCTAGGAAAAATATCAAAATAATGCTGGGATCTGAACTGAGGTATGGTCCCACGCACTGATCAGAGAATGCACTGGAAACTTCTCCATATTTGGACACAGACCTTCATGTCTATTTAGCAAGATTCAGGTCAGGGTTTCAACGGGAGAATGAGCTGGAGATTAATGGAATTCCAGCTAAAGTATGCTTCTTTTTCCTTTCAGATACAATGATGACACTGAAGGTTCAGATCCTGTTTGGTTTCCTTTGCTGCATGATTCTTCTGCCTACAGATGGCTTCCCAGCAGACACCAGTACTGAATTTCGCTCTGCTTTCTCTGTGGCCAGAACCAGCAGCATGGAAGGGAGCTCTGAGATGGTCATTACCTTTGACAAAGTGTATGTGAACATTGGCAATGACTTTGATCCCAAGACTGGGCTGTTCCGCTGTCGGATCCCTGGAGCCTACTACTTCTCCTTCACTGTTGGGAAGTACCCAAAGAAAAATTTGTCTGTCATGCTGATGAGAAACAAGAATGAAGTGCAAGTGATTGTGTATGACGAACATCACCGCAAGGAACGGAAGGTAGCCAGCCAGAGTGCCATGCTGCAGCTTGACTACGGTGACACAGTTTGGCTGCGTTTACATGGAGATCCCAAGTATGCTCTTTACAGCAATGTGGGCCCCTATACAACTTTCAATGGCTACCTAATCTATCCAGACACTTCTGCCTTCTTCCAGAATGCTCTTAGCTCTCAAGAGCTGGGGCCACACCATCACACTATTCAGCAACTTCCCGGAGAGCAGAATGAAGCTTCACAGCGACATGTTTTATCTGACCAACCGAACAGGGAACAAGATCCTCGCTCTGCATTTTCTGTTGCCCGCTCACAAAGTCTCCTGGGGACAGACGACAAGCAAACCCAGCATGAGCCGATCACGTTTGACACAGAGTTTGTGAACATTGGAAAAGATTTCAACTCCTCCACTGGCATCTTCTCATGCCGTATACCTGGTGCATACTATTTCTCCTTCACCATTGGCAAAATGCCCTTTAAGACTATGTCAGTGAAACTTATGAAGAACCACAATGAGGTGCAGGCCATGATCTATGATGACAACCACTCCAAGAGGCGGGAGATGCAGAGCCAGAGTATCATGCTGCCTCTGCAGTACGGGGACACCGTTTGGCTCTACAGCCATCAGCATGATGGCTATGGTGCCTACAGCAACCATGGCAAGTACATCACCTTCACCGGCTTCCTGATCTATTCAGAGGCTCAGCCAAAGCGGCTTCCAGGTGCCAGCTCCCCCCAAGGGTCAAATAATTAGGTGCAGATGTGAAAGGAGCGTAAGAAAAGCCAAGGTGCCATGAACTTGGGTGTAGCTCCTCTTCAAATATCATCCTCTACTTTGAGCATGCTATCATGTGTCCAGTGCTTTCCCTATGCTGCACGCTTGTGCCCTGTCTGCAGGGCCACTGCCGTGTCTGCCATTCATCCATAGAAAGGTCTTTACAGGTTGTATGTGTGTGTCCTGTGTTGGTGTTTGATTTAAGCATAAAGCATGAAGTAGTTTGGGGGCAGGGGTGGGGCAGCGTAGTGAGATGCTGAGGATCAGAGAGCCACTGCAGTAACATTACTGCAGATCCCCAGCATGCAGAAAGCAAAGGATGTGGTGACTTTCCTTGCATTTCTGGGGAGGGAATAAATGTAATGAAAATGAATGTAATAAAAATAAAAAAGATGTAAAATTTTCTCAGATTGGAATTTGTTGTTACTTGTGAGACTTGTGTGCTTGTCACTGGCTGAGGTACCAGCTCAGGAGAGAAAGAAGCATGGTGATCATATGAGCTGCAGTACGTGTTACTGAGCCAGTCTGTGTACACTCTTTTTTATCATTCGTGTGTGTGAAGTGTTGGTACCTCTTAACGATTTTATTGCAAGTTTCACAATATTTGGTGCTTTTCTTAATCTGATTTTGATGAAGTCAAGAAGCTGTGCTTGAGAATCTCAGCTTCCGTTTAATGAAAATAATACATTTAGAAACAAACAAAAAAGTAGGCTTCTAGCCCTTGTAGTAAAGGATGAGGGCTCAAATCTACAAACGGACCATCCTCTGAAAGCTCAGAAGCAAGGTAAGTAAGAAGAATAAAAAATGTATTTTTAAATGTCTTAATATTTGGGTCAGGAGCAGGCTCATAATGTGTTAATCGTGAGCAGTACCATGACATGCAATGGCAGTGTGGAGTGCAGGGGCATTACATTCTCCAGAAACGAGCTCCTTGAATACAAGGGTATGGTTAACCTGCCATATGCTGTGTTGGTAACGTACTGCAAACAGGATCGAAGGTACCAGTAAGTGATAATTTCCGCATCTGTGTTCCAGTGGTTTCTTATACCCTGTGTTCCGCCGAGCTGTAGTGCTGCTGTAGAGAGAGTGGTGTGGCTGTCAAGGGCACTTCTGTGTTCTTACAGGGCAGTTGGGACTGATGGTGGGGTCCACCGAGGTGGGTGGTAGGAAAGCAGGAGGCTGGAGATTTCATTGTAGTGCGATTGGTGCTGTTTCAGTTGAGCGAAACCCTGGTTTGCCTCCCAAAATACATAAACTTCAAAAGTGCATCATCTTGAGCATGCACGAAACTTTGTGACATCACTTGAGTTTAATTTATAAACTGCTCAACAGATAGCAATGTTTTTAAACGGATCCTAACAAAATCCTGAATTCAAAACAGTGTATTTGCATCTGAGTCACCAAGCCAACCCCTTCAACCTTTATCCAGACCTTCATATAGCTCAGACTGTATATTCTCCAGCAAGACAATATTTTCATGCACTAGTGCCATCCTAGCTCAGCTTTTTGATGATATTCTCTGCTCGAACTGGACTTGTCTGCAGCCACTCCCTGCCTCCATCGCTCCATACATATCCTAGACATTAAAGACTGGAGGCATAGTTGGGAAAAGGATGAAAGGTAGAGATTGGACGTATGTAAAGAAACAGCATAAAAATAGAAGAAAGCTGGGTGGGACACTAGTTTACTAGAAGTTAAACTTCAAATAAAATGCTAATCTTAATTCCTACATCCTTGGTGGGGGGGTGTGTTGGGAAGCAACAAACAACCTGCTTTATGAACTCTGTAAATCTATCTTCTCCTGTCACAGCCCTAACCTGACCTCTAAAACCATTCTCTGTGGCATCTTGCTTCCAGGCTTCTTATTCCTGCTTCACCATTTCTCCTCTCCATCTGTTGGGCAACAACAGCTTGGAAAAAGATTAACTAGGTCAAAAGCTAGCAGCTCCCACTTTGAATGTCACACATGCCTCCTTTGTTGAGCATGGAAAATTAAGAGTATATTGGTAGAAAGGAAGTTATGGGTCACGTCATCTAAGCACATGCAATGAATGTTCAAAATTAATGTGCCTATAATGGCAGCAGGAAACCTAGTAGAAACAAACAAACAAAAAAATCAAACCACTCCTGAGTAGATAATTACATTTATTTAATTCCACACTACTACGTGTAAGAGAGAGAAAGGTTAATGATCTCTTTCTATAAAATAGTTGTACTTCTGATTTTGAGGATAGAGATTGTGTATTTATTATGTTTGGCTTGTAAAGTGCCAGTGCTGTACAAAAAAACTTCATAGAAGGGGTAAAATCTGCTGAAGAAATAACTAGGTCATGATCCTTAGGAATTTAAATGAGATTTAAGGAAGTATATTCCAAACTGATAACTGGCACAAAGCAGTGTACATGTGTAAATATGGTGTGCAAATACTAGAAAGCTTCATGGAATACATACATTTTCAGGTTGCTTTTTAAAGAAAAATTAATACATGAGATGGGACATTACTGTGGGCACACAAAATGGGATGCCACATGAGAAGATAGCTGAAATTAAGTACGTGATCTATATCATGAAACACAACAAAATCTGCTTAGCTGGTTACTGGAGAGGAGAAAAGATACTGTATTTGGCTGAAACCACAGGGGGAATATAAGGAGGCTGAACTGAATTATCTGAAATGAAGTCAGCTAGGACACCAGTGTAACATCCTGGAAAAAAACCTGCCAGGACATCTCCCCAGTAAGCATCAGTGATCAAGATAGATAACACAACTAAATAGCACTGCCCCCTTCAGCACAGCCCACTTAAAAAAAAACAACCAAACAACCAAACAAAAAAAACCAGGAAAGGGTGAAATACACTTTAAAGTTTCATCCTATTTCATTTAAAAATAAAAGCTTGTGTACAAATCCTTAGAGGGTTGCCAGCGCAATGCAGAAAGCAGGACAAAAAGGTGTGGCGTATTTGTACAAAGTCCTGAATAATGTGGAAAGCATTCGAAATAACCAAGGATGCAGCTGAAGTCAGGTGTGTCCTTTCCTACAGTAGTGTCCCTTATTAAGTGCCTCTCTTGGTCCTGGCCAGGTTAGAATGATAGAAATGTTTCAGGGATGCTAAATGTGAAGGCTTCTCCTTCCAGGGCCAGGAAGCCAGCAGGAGGGTGGTATTTGCAGGGCAGAGCCCCTTGCACAGATCACGAAAGATTTCATCAACCAGCTGAGAGAAAAAACTAATCCAGAGATTTTTATCCAGACCCTGCATAGAGCGAACCTGATAGGCACAGTAAACACCAGTGAAAAGGAGCCGGTCAAACTCTGTTAGAGGCAAGGGAGTATCCATCAGTGAATAATATCTCAGGTGCTGCTCAATCTCTGTCGGTGTTTTGGGAACGTCATCCTCTAAAACCTGCATGAACCACCGTGCCGGGCGCAGGGAGGCCAGCTCTTCATCCCGCAGCCGGATTGTCCTGTCGGCCCGAATATCCAGCCCTCCCCAGAGCATCTGGAAGAGAAGAGCAGCATGCGCACGGGAAGCCCAGCACAAACCCTCCGCCAGTTCTAACCGAGCTGTAAAGCCATCTGCAACGCTGCCAAATCTCGGGCCAGACCGAGAGGCGGCCACTCCCTGACTCACTGCCCACAGCCCGCCTATTCCCACTCCACGTCCTTCTCCACCAGTCCCACGCCCCTTTTCTGACCGGCCCCACACCTTGGTTTCCCCATGGGACCCATCCAGCCCCTGTCTCCCACCCTGCCTCTCCCACCGCCATGGCTCCTGCCTTGGGTGGGGGGCTTGGCCGTTTGGTGAAGGATTCACCTAAACCTGCAGGGTTTGTCCCTGCCCAGAGGTAAGAGATGCCACAGAGGGGGTCAGAGCCCCCTTCAGCCGCTCCCTGCAATGGGAGGGACAACAAATGCAATCAGAGCATCCCTGAGGCGTTTTCCAGGCACTCCCAAAATCCGGCAGGGATGAGAGCAAGCAGAACGTGTGAGTTTTTACATGCAGGCAGGTGGGAGCACGGGCACTAACACTGCCTCGGCCCACGGGCCCCCAGCACCCAGGAGACCTCTAACACGACGTTGGTGTCCTCGGGGCCACGATGGTGTGTGTTGGCACCAGCACCGTCCCTGCTGCGAGGATGTTCATCTGGAAGACATCAGGCAGAGTTTGGTAGCACAAGACCGTGGCCCTTCCTGTTTATTTATGTCATTTTGTTGTCAGTAATGTCTTCAATATTTCTGAGCTGCCACTCACAGCTTGCCAAACATGACAGATGCTGACCACGGGATTTTGATGAGCAAAACAAGCTTTTTTAAGAGACGCACAAGTGGTTAAGGGAGGCGAGTGTAAGTTTTGGATATGACGGCCCTTAATCCTGCCAACAGAGCTAAAGCGTACAGCAGCAAAGGCACTTGCTTTGACAGGCAGCAAGGAAGTCCCTCATACCGAGTATGGGTGGGTTTTAAACTGATGGGTTTTGGTTGCTTGACAGTTTTTGCTGGAGAAAGTAATGCTGCCCAATGGAAGAAGGGTGCTGGGAGGTTCCTCGACCTGCTGGTGGAAACATAACCTGATGCATATCCTGGTTTTATACTTTTTCCCTGAGCATCTGCTGCTGGTGGGGACAGAGTGTGAGGGTAAAAGAAAGCCAGTTGGATCCACTATGGCTCTTCTCATGTCCAGCTAATTCCTTCCCGGGCTACGTGACATTATTTAAACTGGGAAAAATAGATACAAGGCCAGAGGAATGAGAGATTATTAATGTGAAAGTCGCATTAATCCTAAGAATTCTTCAATTTTAATTTACTAATATTTCTAGTGCTTTAACTTTCAGCATTTATTTTGCCTTTATTATTTCTTTCTTTGTGAAAAAGGAGACGCAAGTAGTCTCGGTCCAGGACTGAGAGGGAGGCTGCATCCCCTCCCTTCTCTGTGTTGATCAGTGTAGTTGTATAGCCAAGACCCTCTTCTACTTCTTAAAGACTCATCCTTCAGGTCAAGAAACATGAAATGGAAAAAGTTTGTATAAAATAGTAAGCTTTCTGACACTTTTTTTTTTTTCATTTTTATATGGATGAAGGCTTTTTTATATAAAAAAGAGGGAGAATTTATGTGGAGTACTCCAGAGTTAAGGTCAGCAGGTGCTTATAAAAAGCAGGAAAATGATTTAATACTGTATGTGTGTGATCACTACTACCAAATCCCGCTTCCAACTTTCCATTCTTGATTAAAGCTTTTCAGGGAGATGTACGAGCTGCCTGAAGAAGTGCACTGCCACCCCCCAGGCTGTGAAGGTTTGTTTCTCTGCACAGCTGCAGGGTCCCTGATCCAAGCCAGCTGTGGCTTTGGACTGTGAGCAGTGATGTAGTCGCTCTTTCCTACTCCTCCATGGATGTGCCAGCAAGGCTTTTAGCTCAGGTAAAAATACTGCATCATCTGAAAATTTCTTTGCCGGTCTTCTCTCTGCTAACTGATCTGCTAAGTTCACAGATCCCTCTACTGAGAGATGTCTGACTGGCTGCAAAGTCAGTGAATTTGTTGAATAGCTGCCAAACTGCTGTTATTAGTAACTGTCTCATAAATATATGCCATATTAGATTTTTAAGTAAAACAAAAATTAAACAAAGCATAAAAAATGACGTATTGAAATAACAAAAGTATCCTCCAGAGATGGGAAAATGGTCCCTTACTTACTTTATCATTCAACGGGGGGGGAGGGTTCCCCCAAAAAGCATCTAGAAAATCCACAAACATTATTGCAGGAGCAGACTTTTTCAGTGGAGACCCTCCCCCTGCCACCAAAAATAGCAAGCAGCAGGTTTTCATCCTGCAAGTAGGTACCAAGTGCCTCCCCCAGTGAACAACTCCAGCCGGGACTCCAGCTGTCTCTCTCTCATGTGTCAGCACAGCTAAGCTGAAGCATTTGACCATATTTGCAGAAGCAGGCGAAGCGTTGCGCCGCCGGCATTGCACAAACCGTTTGCTAAGCCGAGAAGCCTCATCGCTAGCAGGTGCTCTTCCTACCTGTCAGCCTCTGGGATCCGGCAAACACGCACAGGATCAGCCAGGCGTTGAACTGTACCTGGGCCATAGCAGCCCTGCCCAGTAGCCGCTGCCACGTTCTGCATGGACAGTGCCGTGCCCGAAGTGAGAGCGGTTTGCCGTGGCGTCTTCCCTTGCTGTTTCTGGTCCCAGCAGCCTCTGTTGGAACAGATCCATCTTTCTGTGTTTCGGGTTGCAGTCCTGGGAAGGGCTTGCAGTTCCACTTGCTGACCCCGAAGGATATTTTCCATCATATTTTGGAAACTTGGAAGACTTGTTGTGAAGTTTTTGGCAGAATTGTTTAAGCTGCTTTTCCAAAGACTGATTTCCCACTGCAGTTTATTATAGGAAGCTATTAGTTGCAAGAAATTTCACTATACATGATTGCCTCCGAAGAAGGGAGGACCTCCTGGTCCCTTCTGACTCTGCACAGCACCTGTCACATCTCTGTGACACTTTCTGCTCAGCTCCTTGGCTTCATTTTCATGTTTCCTTTTTCCCCGAGTTTGAAAATCTGCAAACAATCCTGAAATGTTCACCAACGGATAAGGCCAGTAGTCTGTGCAGATTCATGGAAGGGCAGTAGCAGCCAAAATACACAAGCAGTCAGAAGAAATGTCACTTGTTCAGTTCTGTATCAAACCTCCTGGAGGGAGAACTCAATATACTGACTAGCAAACAGTCAGGATCAGAGCCAGCCAGGCTTTAGCACCTCATGGTCCTCTCCTGTGACGAGACTTCTGGGTTATGATGAGCACAGTCTGCCTTAGATGTTGTGAATTACGTAGATGAAACTTCATCTGATTCCTTTCACAGCAGGTATCTGTTCTCTACACATTTTTGCACTTTTATTAGTGCCCAATCCCCAGTCAAGCTGTTCTGTATTTCTACTCTGTATGGCACAGTATGGTCCTGGGTTCTCCAATAGGTTCTGGGATGCCAGGGTTATAGAAATATGTAATAATATGTATAAAGAAGTGTCATGGTTTAACCCCAGCCAGCAACTAAGCACCACGCAGCCACTCACTCAGTCCCCCCCCCACCCAGTGGGATGGGGGAGAGAATCAGGAAAAAAAAAGTAAAACTCATGGGTTGAGATAAGAATGGTTTAATAGAACAGAAAGGAAGAAACTAATAATGCTAATAATAATATTAAAATGACAATAATAATAATAAAAGGATTGGCATGTACAAGTGATGCACAATGCAATTGCTCACCACGTTCTGACTGATGCACAGTTATAGTTCCCGAGCAGCAATCCGCTCCCCCCAGGCCAACTCCCCCCAGTTTATATACTGGGCATGACGTCACATGGTATGGAATACCCCTTTGGCCAGTTTGGTTCAGCTGTCCTGGCTGTGTCCCCTCGCAGCTTCTTGTGCCCCTCCAGCCTTCTTGCTAGCTGGGCATGAGAAGCTGAAAAATCCTTGACTTTAGACTAAACACTACTTAGCAACAATTGAAAATATCAGTGTGGTATCAACATTCTTCTCATACTGAACCCAAAACAGCACTATACCAGCTACTAGGAAGAAAATTAACTCTATCCCAGCCAAAACTGGGACAAGAACTAATAAAACCACCTCCCTCAGGTTAAAGGGGGAAAGAACTCTGCCTAGAAGAGAGGGGAGTTGGATCTGAAACACATACCTTTCTCAGCAAGTTACAGTGTCAGTTTGTAGTGACTACTGTCACCAGATAGTTTACTGAGGGTAGGGATGATGTTCCAGTTAGTAAGTTGTCAGTGTGCAAAGTGGCATGTTTTCTGAAACTTCCAGGCTCTGTAGCTGTACCTGGCAATATGAGGACCTACATCAGCTATGAAGAAAAGCAGCACATAATGCAAGAATCCAAGATTTGTCACGGGAGGAGGGGCCCTCAGTATCCATAGCCATTCTTACTCCCAGTTTGGATCAAAATAAGACCAGTGGTTCCGTCATAGCCTTGGCTATCTTCAAGTCAGGCTACACTTCTTTCAGTTTTCATTACTTTCTTCTGCTTACGCTTTAGTTGCATCCCTTTCTTCTGGGATGAGATATCTTTTATTAAACTGTGAATCACATGCTACTCAAGAGGCAGACACCGATGACCCATCTGTGCAGTGAGATTGATGGTTTGTGCCAGAGTCCTTTATAATCCGCAGTGTACGCATGACTGTCTAGAAGTCACTACGCAAAAACCCTGCATCTCATGGGCCATGAAATGGCCTCCCTTTAGCGTGCAGCACATGGCACAAGGATGAGTCCAGGATTTTGGCCAACATCTGCAAAGGCCATATATGATTTTGTCAACAGGAAAATTTCCTAGGAAAAGCTTGCAGCTCAAGTGTCTAGAGGAGGATGCCCATGTTGGTGGGAGGGAGAAGAAAGGAGGCTTGGAGGCTGTGCTTAGGTGACTGGTAGAGTGGCAGGTGGGGGACAAGCATCAGTGGCAGATGATGCTTTGAGCTAGGAGGATTTTGTAGAATCGCCTCACTACCTCGCACAGAAAGGCAATTGCAGAGTGATAAACGTATGCCTTAGTTGTTTGTAAAGCCGCAGTAGTTATATGGTGCAGAGAAACAAGCCTGAGTTTCTGACGGCTGCACATAGTCCCCATGTGTACGATTGCAGTATTAGGCGGTGCGCCTGCTCCTCCTGAGGGATTTTGTCCTTGCCAGGTATTCACAGCTGAGCGTGCACAGCCCTGTCCCCCTGCACTCCCCCTGGTCATACCGTATGCCGTAGGAGCAGTTGCAAAACGTCACATCAAGCCGGGTTTCTGCAGGGGCACCTTGACTGGTTTCATCTTTTCCACGATGGACCTCCTTGAAGCAGGAGGAGGGGAAAGGGGAACAAGATATGAAGGATCAAAAACTTGCAGGAGCTGTTTGGATGCTGGTTAATACAGCACCAGAAGGGCCTCTTTGGCAAGGAGGTTTCTTTGAAATGGGACTGCAGGGAGATAGGCAGCATCTTCACAAAAGGGAAATTCTGCTCATAGAATTGGAGAAGTCTCTTGCTTCGAACATCTCGCCCAGAACTTGGGGAGACCACAGTCCCCAGCCTGGGTCTGTCTGGCAGGTGCTGAAGGGAGGAAGATGAGAAGAAGAAGGAGGTTGAGGAAAGAGGGGAAGGAAGAAGGATATACACGGCTCCCAGAGAAGGTGAGGTTTGAGTCATTGGAGGGGAAGAAAGAAGAAAACCTTGAGGGAAGTAAGAAAGAAACACTGACTGTAACCAGAGGGGACCTCCACTGTTATACTGGTATTTTCCAGTTGTGGTGCTGCTAGTCCTTATGCAAATGCTTTCCTTGTCTTTTTCTTTCAGTTTTTGCGAGCAGCATCCGCTGCTTGAAGGAGTAATGGGCTGTGTAACAGTGACAGGGAGGGCCCCATCCCACTGCACTACTGCACAAAAGGACCCCCTGTCCGGGCCTCACAGAATTGGGAGATGTCATGGGATGCAGTGTGATGGGTGATACGGGGCATGCTGTCATCCAGACTGTCCCTCACGAGTCCCATAAGCTCTGTTCTGCAGGAGTGCAAGGCCCAGCCGAAATCCCCATCTGGATTTTGACTGGAGATCAATTATAAGGGCTATCCAGACTCCGTAGCTGTGATGTGGGTGGATTACCTGATACCATCAATAGCCACATGCTCAGGGAGGAGGAGAGTCTGCTCGCCTGGCTGGAGGAAGAAATTCCAGAGTTCTGGAAAACACCAGCAAAACCTACTCAGCTGGGGAAGCTCAACATGGTGACTGTGAGTCATCACCTAAAGTCTATTTGCCCCCGCAGTACCAGAAAAATCTCTCTTCTGAATAGCGTGTCTGTAAGTCAGCTACATCTGATTTACTTAAACCTCATCCAACGTCCTCCTACAGCTGGGAAATCCAACCCCGGCAAACAAGCCTCGTGGAGGCTGGCAGTGTGGACCAGGCAGGGACAGAGGATTTGGAAGACAGCTTTGCGCTTGACCAAGCTGACCACCGCCTTGCCCAGCATGAAGCAAGTGCCCACCAGCCAGAAGGAATCCAGAACCAGCAGGTTCCATAGGCAAGAATGGCCCCTGGAGCTCCAGAGCGGAGGTAGTGTGCCAACACTGGTGGTACTTTTTGAGGCTGTGGAACCCTCTTGTGCCCTGGGATAATGCGTCTGGGTGAGCAAATCGCACTCATCATAACCGCCCAGGCTTCTCTAATGAGAAGAGATTTGGGTCCATTAGCAACTATTCCACATATTAAAGACCTGCTGGAGCCAATGCCTGTCCCCACAGGGCCGGCTACTTTTCCAGTACACACATTCTTCAATAAACCTTGCACGTTGTCTAACTTGACAGGGCATTGTGTCTAACATTTCTTGATGTTACGTCAATCAAATTCTCCCTCTGCACAAACATTATGCTTAAATGGCAGTTTTCCCTCTGTTCCTGCCACCATCACTCTTCTGACTTATTGTACTGGGAAATACAAATTTTTTATGATACACAGACCATGAGTCTTGGCATGGTACCTCAAGCAACCTGGGATGGGGGAGGGAGAATGTGGGGGGGGGGGAATGTGCTTTATAAAGAATTTTCACAGTAACAGAAGTGGTGCCAGGAACTTTTCTGTCTTGTGCAATAGGCATCGGCATGCAAAAAGAGCCACTGCAACAGAAAACAGAACCAGCTGTGGAACACGTTGTAGGAAGGACTAAAAGCACATTTCCTATTTAATTAGCTCAATTGATGGCAGATCCAAAGTGGAGCTAAGAATTGTATAAAACCCCAAACTTCTGCTGATTTCTGTTCCCTTCTCTTTCCTCTTTCCGATTAAGAGCTATAACTTTTAAGGTGAGTAGCAAACGCTATTAATTTTAACTAGAGAACACTGTTCTGAGTCATATCCCAAATACTGCCAGCCAAAGCAGCCTGAAACAAATTAAAAAAAAATAAATAAAAATTTAAGAAGCCCATGCTTACAAGGCTGGGTTGGAAACAAACATGAAACCCGATTCTTACCATACAGTTCAGCTCTTTATTCTTGAAAACAGTTCACATTCTAGCCACAATGAGTACTTGTCCCTTTTTTTTCTTAATTGATTATTGTCCCATCCCTTCCTCCATCCCATGCTCTAACATCCCCCAAATGCCTTTTTTAATTAGTGCTTTTACAATTTAAAAGCTTAAGCAGTGATTCAGGGAATCTCTACAAACAGCTTGTAAATTATTTTATGAAATCTTACAAAATACTTTTCAGATCTTAATGAGGTCAGTTTTCTGATGCATTTTCTGGACTAAGGACAAGGGACATTAATTGATGACTGCTGTAATGTAATCCCATTCAAACAGGTGGTGGGTGGACTGAAACTACAGTGTTTTTCCAGCTTTTTTGGAGAGAGATGATATTTTCCACAAGAGCAAAGATAGTGGTAATGCTATTATATCATACAGCTCAAAATAATGGGAATAGTGACAAAAAGGCATAGACTCTTCTCTATGGAACAAGGGAAGGGAGATATTTTTGACTGCTGGAAAAAGCACAATTTGAAGATGCTGGAGAAAGTAAAGACTGCTTGATTGTGAAGAAAAAGCCATCATGAGGGAGTAGCACATGAGAGGTTACCTGCAACTCCTTCTTCTGCCAGGAGAACAGGCACTGACCTAATTCCCAAGAAAAAAATGCAGAGGATTTCCACAATTGTTTTGGTCTGGATCCAGGTACATGAGTTGTCCTAATAACAACTGTATTAGAACCATTTACAAAAGCTTTGCCTGTTAGCTATATTATTATTATTATGGTCTTCCCAACATCCCTCGTGGAGCTGAGATACTGCTATCCCATTGCTTAAGCTACACAGCTGCTTCAGTACAGTCTCCGAGTGAGTGCTCAGGTTATGATGTATGCCTGCAAGGACAGCTAGCACAAGCAGTGTATATAAAGCGTCTTAGCCACAGGGAATGCCTGGACTCCATTCAATTTGCAAACCAAAAAGACAAATCCGGTGTCTTACAATTCAGAGCAGCAGATAAACATCTACCAGTGGCATTATCAGGATTGTCAAATAGCATCCCTCACCCTGTGCTTTTCATCTAGTTTGAAAACATTATTCATGTGACCACAACAGGCAAGAATCTCATATCAATTTTTATTATTATAAATACTATGTTAGAACAGAAAGGATGGTGCCATGCATCTGCTCCATTCTGCTGCTATTTTGCATCTTCTTTCTTGGCTCCGGCTTCTATTTTCAGGGGTTCTGGAGCTGCACGATAGGCAGGAAATGCCTCCCAAGGACTATTCAGATCAAACTTGCGAAATTCCTGAGATAGCTCCACAGGCTCTGCCACTACCCGTTTCACTTCATCATCATACCGCACCTAGAACAGTGCAAAGGACAAAAGCCAGTCATTTTCATACAGTCGCCATAGCATCTCTGCTATTAGCTGTACACAGCAATGACCCAGACCACCCTCCAGTACAGGCAGTCCTAGTTCTTACACCATGGATAGACCACAGACCTCTGCCACAGCTTCAGTTCTCCTCATTATTAAACAAAAGCCCTCCAGATGCCACCAAGACCTCTGGACTCCCCAGGAAAGCCCTCCTCTTTGCTACCATGTACGTACCTCAGGTGTCCTGACTAACCACCCTGAATTAGGAGTGCCCAGCCTACAGTCCACATGAAGCCCACACAGAGTAACACACTTAGTTTGTCATATGACAAAGGAATTTCTCCTGCGTCACCAAAATGAGGTGGCCTGTCCACCTGGCATAGCTGGGGACTAGTCTCCATGAATCTTTATAATATGGCAGTTTGTTTGGTTTTAGTTGTGCTTCTTAGCATAACACTCAGAGCATGGGACAAAAAGACAACCAGGGTGAAATGCGCGTGAGTACGAGACACTTCTGATTGGCTTGCTTTATCCTCACTGTTACGGTCCAGATCTCCAAACCATAGTTCAAGAGATGCTGCCTGGTCCTCACTTGCAGGACTTGCTGTTATTTCAGTTTTTCTTAAACCCCTCTGTTGCTTGCAGAACCTCACTGTTTTCTCCTGAGACTCAACTCAGTCTTAGAACTGCACCAAATGTGACTGCTTTTGCAAGGTGGTCATTTGAAACTAGACAGATACCAAAAACACTCTTTTCACTTGTGGTTTGACATACAGAGGTAAATATTTGCTAAATGGCAAGAGTCAGTTCAACTAGAGTTTTGTAATATGGGCCTACAAAAACTCAAAAAAGTGGAGTTCCAACTGCCGTTAAGATCAGTTCAGTCCCTTATTCATCTGGGAATCTCCAGTTTTGCAGTGGAATGCTTAATCTTTCAGAAGGCATGATAAAAGCAGAAGCACTTTCTCTGCCAAATGTCTTTGGCACACAGCACATGAAATTTGCTCAATGCCTCTGACCTTAGGCTGCCTTATCACGGATGATACTTTGTGATGACTTCAAATTTCCATGCAGGAAATCTATACAGCTCCTCTGGAATACAGACATGTGAAACATCCTTAGTGCCTTTCGGACAAAGGATTGTAAAGCAGTCACATCTCTGTACCTGTCATGGTTTAAGCCCAGACAGCGACTAGGCACCACACAGCTGCTCACTCACTCCCTGTCCCCCCCAGTAAGATGGGGAGGAGCATTGGGGAAAAAGCAAGTAAAACTCGTAGGTTGAGAAAAGAACAATTTAATAACTGAAGTGAAATAAAATGTAATACTACTACTACTAATAATAATAATAGTAATGAAAAGGAATATAATAAAATAAAATAATAATAATTTTTAAAAAATGAGAAGAAAAGACAAGCAATGCACAATGTAATTGCTCACCACCTGCTGACCACTGACTGATGCCTGAGCAGCGATCCCCCCCTCCTGGCCAATTCCCCCCAGTTTATACACTGAACATGACATTCTATGGTATGGAATATCCCTTTGGCTAGTTCAGGTCAGTGTCCTGGTTTCAGCTGGGATAGAGTTAACTGTCTTCCTAGTAGCTGGTGCAGTGCTATGTTTTGAGTTCAGTATGTGAAGAATGTTGATAACACTGATGTTTTCAGTTGTTGCTCAGTAGTGTTTAGACTATAGTCAAGGATTTTTCAGCTTCTCATGCCCAGCCAGGGCACCTGGCCCAAACTGGCCAACAGTGTATTCCATACCATGTGATGTCCCATCTAGTTTAGGAACTGGGAAGTGGAGGGCAGGGATTCGCCGCTAGGGGACTGGCTGGGTGTCGGTCGGCAGGTGGTGAGCAATTGCCCTGCGCATCATTTGTACATTTCAATCCTTTTATTACTACTGTTGTCATTTTATTAGTGTTATCATTATCATTATTAGTTTCTTCTTTTCTGTTCTATTAAACCGTTCTTATCTCAACCCAGGAGTTTTACTTCTTCTCCTGATTTTCTCCCCCATCCCACTGGATGGGGGGGGGAGTGAGTGAGCGGCTGCGTGGTGCTTAGTTGCTGGCTGGGGTTAAACCACGACAGTCAGCTGTCCTGGCAATGGTCTCTCCCAGCTTCCTGTACACCTGCTTGCTGGCAGAGCATGGGAAACTGAAAAATCCTTAACTTTGGATAAGTGCTACTTAGCAACAACTAAAACATCAGCATGTTATCAACATTATTCTCACAATAAATCCAAAACACACTGTATCAACCACTAAGAAGAAAATTAACTCTATCCCAGCGAAAACCAGGACAGTACCGAAACTCAGATAAGTATTGGAGAGATTTGGTAACTTTAGACACGAGCGTGTCTCCTACCTCCACGTAACCAGAGAGTGGAAAGTCCTTCCGGAAAGGATGGCCCTCAAACCCATAGTCTGTGAGGATTCGCCTTAGATCAGGGTGGTTGGCAAAGAAAACACCATACATGTCCCAAACCTAAATGAAAGGGAGCCAAGCAAGCTGCATTAGATTAGGGAAAAAAAAAAAAAAAAAACCTTCATGTATTATGTTCATAAAATTTCAGTTACATGCCTGGCTTTGTGCGGTGCCAGCGAAACTGATGCAGAAACTCATTCAAAAAGCAAATCACCCTTTTATCTCCTACTCTGGAAAGGCAGCCAGGGAAACACTTCTTTCTTTCTCAGGGCCCTGGGAATCAGTTTAATCAGGAAAACACAGCTCCTCTCCACAAAGACCCTACTCCCAAGTACGCCGGCACTCACCTCTCTCTCATACCAGTTTGCTGCCTTGTGCACAGACACTGCTGAGTCAACAGGTGTCAGCTCATCAGTGTATGTTTTCACACGGATCCGACTGTTGAACCGCAGAGACAGGAGATTGTACACAATCTGAAGCAGAATAAAAGAAGGCATTGGTCTTGCACGGCATTTATGGATCTCTTTGCAGTACAGTACTGGCTAAGCAAAGGCACACAAAGACTATTTCAAATATTCTTCATCAGCAGAATGACATTCAGCATTTCAGAGCTGGGCACTAAAAGACACTATTACAACTGAGGTTCCAATAGCTTATCACTTTGGCCCCTAGAAGTGTAACAAAAATGATGTGAGATTTAGAAAACATGACCAATGAAGAAGAGCTGAAGTAAAGAGGGATACTAAACCTTAAAAAAAGAAAATACTGAAGGGATGGAGACACTTGACAATAGTCTTTCAAGAGTCTGTCACAAAGAAAATGGCTATCAATTACCCTCAGCATCCAGTGGGAGAAAGCTAAGAAGAAAAACACTTAGTTTTCAGCAAAGAAGTTGTATACCAGGGAAAATTTCTAACTCTTCTGGTGATGAAGTACTAATAAGAAGGCTGCTTATGAGGATTACTAGAACCTCCGAGAGAGGATGGGGTGGGGGATACTTAATACAAGCTGAAAAAAAACCCCCAAACCTTTGTAAGAAATTGTGTAGCCTTGTTTGATACTGCCTCTGTGAAGATGGCTGAAAAAGGTGGACTCATGAAGGTCTATATTATTTCTATGAATCTACTACCTTAATTTTTGAAAGGAAAATCCTGAATTAAAAAATCTTCAACTTCTTCAGAGACTGAAGGCCTTTGAGTTAAAGAAACTCTCTCTATAACTCAGGATTTTTGCCTAATCATGAGTTACATCACTAAAAGTCAAAGCTGTTATTAGCAAAGCAAGAACGAGCTGTATTTGAAAACAACAGACATCCGATTAGCTAATACAGATAAGGCAAACCTGCCACCCCTCACCTTCTGAGTAGCTGTTGGTAAGTGATTTAATACCACAAAGGGGGAAAACAAATCAGCTACTACTCATTATCCTTGTTACTTGCTGGGAACTAAAAAATCTACCAATTCACTTCTCTGTCCAATCTGGGCAGACGGTCTTTTGGGCAAAAGGAACACAGACATCACTTTGTCCATAAGGCTGCCTAACCATAGTCAGCCGCCTACAGCATGTGAGCCCTAGGTATTTTCTGCCACTGCCTTTTACGGATTTTCCTAAGTTAAACTACAATAATGTCTTTGCAACAATACTGTGAACAAAGCTTTCTAATGGTAGGTGAGAAGACAACATGCCGAGTGTGTGGTTTGCCCAAAGACGTATCTCTTCTTTTTCTATTTGCAACTGCAATTTTTCTGCAGTTGAAAAGCTATACAGTGTGATATTCAAAAGCATGTGTTGGAATCAAATCTCCAATATTCTCTGAAAGTCAGTGAAAGTGCAGTGCCCAAAATCTTCTGAGAGCTTTCTGAAAATATGCCTCATGTCCTGTGTAGTCCTGACATTCAGGGAATGTTTTTAAAACAACTAATTAGTTTTTTGCTTTGGTTTGTTTTTTTAAAAGAGGAAAATTGTTAAGAAGATTGATGGGGTTTAAAGAAAAATGTGGTCAGTTTTGTCAACAGCAGCTGACAGGCTTAAGTGGAAAAAGGAAGAGCACCAATTCACGTCTGGCCAGAAAGAAGTCTCTAGACACTTTGGTAAAACCAAAACAAAACAACAAAAAAAAGAAAACAAACAAACAAACAAAAAAGAAAAGGAAGACAGAGACTTTCAGCAGAGCACAAAAGGAAAGCCAGACTAAGAACCCATGCAGTATCAGTTCTGCTACTGCTTCCATGATCCACAGAGTAAACAAAATCCAGCATTTCAGAGTGGATTTTCTGTTCACTGTCAGAAAGCAAAAAATGTGGTCAGAGCCGCAACAGCACCCGCAGCCACCAGCACTTGTGAAACTCTCCAACTCCTGCACCTATGAGCAGTTCTTACCTCAAAGCGGTACTGCCGAGATGGGACATCAACAGCAGTCAAGTCAGCCAAGGATTTGAACTGAGCATTAGTGTGATCTCGAAGGAAGGTCAGAACTGGAATGATCCCATCTGGATGGATCAATAGTTCCAGCTCATTGAAACAGGTCACCTGTTGAAAACAGCAGAAAGGGCATGAGTACAAACACCAACAGGACTGAACATTACACTGAATCCAGCAGAACACCCAAACAAAGAGACTATATGGTACAGCAGACACATAATGACATCAGATAAAGGGGCTTAACAATAGCGGTAACTTTCATGTAATTCTGACAATCTTTCTTGCCCAGAAGAACTTCTGAAAACAACTAACAAACAAGTAGTGTGTTCACTGGGTCCTGTCCCCCCCGCCACATGAACGATTTCTCAAAGAGCACCTACCTGTACTTGCTGGATATACTTGGGCAGAATCTCAGCCACATACTCTCCAAAAGCACAGAGCTGCTTCTGTTCTACTTCATTTTTTGGTCTGACAGTAGCTAAAGAGAAAAATAAAGTTCCCAAGATTATGGCATGGAAAACAGAAAGCTACAGAAAGAAGAGTAGCAACTCGCATGCCTGGCTTAAAAATCCCTTTAACCAGTCTTGCTGTCTCTCAGCAGCTCTGGCAGAAGCCAGGCAGCTTCAGGTTCAGGTAACCCGCAAAGTTTATTTATGGTAAATCCGAAGCTAAACACAACATATATGTATAGCAGAACATACAGGATGCTGCAGTAGAGACTAGACCATAGCAACATACATGTGTTGTGGTACACAGAACACGGAACTAGAGACTTTGATAAGGAAGAACGTTTGTGTCAGTGCTAGACAGAATTTTTTTCGTGCACTGTAAACAGAGCAGGAGGAACAGTCCAACAAGATAACGGGAAAGCAAATAACAAGATGAAAGAGAGGCAGAGATGACAGAACAATCTGAACTTAGATACTGCTCATGACATTCAGCCTGGGTCTGGAAGGAATCTTTTTTTCCTAGACAAAATAATCCTGGTTTTGTCTGATGTGCCAGCACCTAAGCAACCCCCTCAGAATCAAACCACCCCAGGATCTCCTGTTGCTTTTTTGTCGTTGTTCCGATTACAAATACTCCTCAAGCTTCAGGGCAACGAAGCCGTTCCCCAGGCACGACTCCGCACAGAACAAGCGAAGGATGCGAAGGGGAACCCCGAGCGAGCACGCTTATCGCCAGAGCCGCTTTTCCACGCAAAACGCGGGTTTACGCCCGACAGGCACCAACCGTGTTCCGATACACCGGCTCAAAACGGTTGCATCGCACCGAAACTTCCCAAAGCCCACAAATACCGGGAACTGACCGGGACACAACCGCACCCCTCGGTCTCTTCCACTGCCCCCCACAACCGCAAGACCCCCCCCC